TTTCTAACATGGAATTGGAATTCGAGGTTGAAAGTTCTTTTTACAAGTTAATGTCTAGAAGGACAGCCGAAAACACAATAGGCAAGGTCTTCGTCGATGGCAGTAAGACGTTACAGGAAATCGGCGGGTGGTCGTCCTGCAGAAGACAAGAGGCAGTTTTATAATGTCCAGACGCGCGCTCCCTCGGCATCGTGGCCAAGTAGCCTCGAGGCCCCGAGTGGTGTATGAGAAAAAAATACAGATGTTGCTCTAAGAATATACGAAAAGAAACGCGACCTCCAAGACACTTTCCCATGCAGTTTTTCCTTCCCAAAAAGTATTGACCATGAAAGAGTGGGGATCGACCTATTACGCCACATCGATCCTAACGAGGGAGGATCAGTTCAACAATATCAGTCGTCCTTTCCGAACGGTGCCCTTTGCATTCTACGAGCAAATAGAGTTCATCTTCGGAAAACTAAGTTTTAGTTTATTTAGCGATTACGTAGTGATTATTTAGTAGTGTCGCGTATGTCGTCGTTATAAATAGTGCAAATTAATTATTGTAAGTTTTATTAATTATTGTAGGTTTTATTAAGTATTGTAGATTTTATTAATTATTGCAAGTTTTATTAAATATTGTAGATTTTATTCATTATTGCAGGTTTTATTAAATATTGTAGGTTTTATTCATTATTGCAGGTTTTATTAAATATTGTAGGTTTGATTAATTATAGAGTGTTAGTTTTGTGTAATCTATAGAGTGTTAAACCCAACGGAGGAACAGCTCGCGGGTCTACTTAATCGCGCAGTGTGTGAACATTTTTCGCGGTCGGGACAATCGCGCAGTGTGTATGGACATTTTTCGCGGACGGGACAATGGCTCAGTGTGTGTGGACACTTTTCGCGGACTTCTGTGGTGTACGTGCGTGTGCGGATTAATTTCATGGATACTCGTGGACAGGACAATTGTGATACGTGACAACTAGAGGGGGCATTAACCCTCTCTACTCGATAATATTCGTAAGAAGATATTTACATTTCTTGCGAATTTTATCGAGTAATCAGAGTTAATGCGATACAAATGGATTCGACTCAAATACCGCCGGCACAAGTTATCGACATCTTCTACGAGGTAAGTAAACAGCTGTTCTAGCGACTGTTCCTGCACGTCGTTGAGTCTTTAAAGTGACTGTACGCCCCTGTTGAGCCGTGATCCCTCCGTGCGCGCGGATTGCCATGATTTCGGTTAATTTTTAAACGCTTATAACTAACAAACGAAGCATTTTTCGCAATTTCGTTATTCTTGATTTTCGTCTTATTTTGCCTCAAAGAATCACCCCTTAAATTTTTTCCCACTAGTTGTCGAACACCCTGTATACATATATACAGGGTGGCCCACATAACTCTTAACAGCTCAATATCTCGCAAACTATGATCGATTTTAAAGTTCTTGAATCTGAAGGGCCTTTCTATATAACTACATAAACGTGAAGTGGCCAACCACCTCTTCCCCTTTAAGGGTGGCGGGGGTACCTTTATAATTTTAAATAGAACCCCCTATAAAACGTTACATATGTAGGTTCTACAGGAAAGACCAAGTAAATTTTGTCTAAAACATTTTTTTGTCAGATATTTCCATGATGAGATATAACAGTTTGAAGTTTCGACTTGTAGGTACTTGATGCGCTCGAAAATTGCGTTGTTGAATTATCTGACTTATATGAAACGAAAATTGCGTTATTGAATTATCTGACTAGTATGAAAATATCTGACAAAAAAATGTTTCAGACAAAATTTACTTGGTTTTTCCTGTAGAACCTACATATGTAACGTTTTATAGGGTGTTCCATTTAAAATTATAAAGGTATCCCCGCCCACCTTAAAGGGGAAGAGGGAGGGCCACTTCACGTTTATGTAGTTAGAAAGGCCCTTCAGATTCATGCAATTTAAGACGAAAAACTTTAATGTGTCACAGCCGACTCTATTATAGGCCCTTCGGGACTGTAGAGGGCCAGAATTCCAGGAATACTACAATAAGGAAACTCCAATCACCTGCGCGCTCTCCCCTCCATGTACAATTTAACTCGAATCGATTGATCGTAGTTCCCAAATTCACCGTTATCATACCCTAGAGGGCAGCAGAAGATCCCTGATTTTTTGCACGATCGGTATTTCAGAACATGAGACAGGAACTCCCATGCGATGATATTTCTATTCTATGATATATCTATTCTATATGATTCTATATGTAAATCGTCGGTGCTTGAAGTTGATTAAAGTCTAAATACATTACAAAATTAAAAAAAAAGTATGTATCTTTAAATTGTATTACAAAATTGTCAAAGTATGCGTGTACATATTTTAATTCTATGTATCGTTAGATTTTGCCGATCGTTTTATATTTGCTTCATTTACATAGTGTATAATGTAATTACAAGAAAGTATTAACTTTCTTTTTGGATTATCACTTTTTTTTAACCTTATTCTATTACACATTTTCTTGTATTGTTATATACGTGATAAAAACGTAGTAAAAAATAAAATATATAAAAGGTCCTTATAAATAATAAAATATTTAATATTTTATGTTACTTAGAATGGTTTCAGTAGATATATCTCCTAAAAATGATGGAGGTGTATTAAAGGAAATTATTAAAGAAGGTATTGGAGATGAAACTGCACCACCTGGAAGCAATGTAACAGTACATTATACTGGTACTTTGTTGGATGGATCAAAGTTTGATTCTAGTAAGGATCGTAATGAACCGTTTACATTTGAGCTTCAGAAAAGAACGGTCATTAAAGCTTGGGATATTGGTGTTGCTACCATGAAAAAAGGTGAAGTTGCAATGTTTATCTGTGACCCTAAATATGCATATGGGGCAAAGGGTAGTCCACCTACAATTCCACCAAATGCAACTCTTAAATTTGAAGTAAGTTATATTTCAATTGACGTATTTGTATATAATAAAATTTTATCTTTATTACTGACATGTTGAAAAAAAACAATTAAGAATTATAAATATTAAACACTAGTTAAATTTTTTTCAATACTAATACTATGGATATGTGATTTACTTTTGTTTATTAGATTGAAATGATTGATTGGACAGATGAAGATTTAAGCCCTGAGAAAGATAGAAGTATTCAGAAAAGTCAAATCACTAAAGGAAAAAAGTATAGTGTTCCAACAGAAGGATCATTAATGAGCAGTAAGTATAACTATTGAGTGTTCATTTTCCAGTGTAAATAACATACTTCATTATAATTTTATTCTTTTTGTTTAGTACATTTAACAGGGATGTATGATGGTAAAGTATTCGAAGATAGAGATGTACAGTTCTGTCTTGGTGAAGGAGAGGATTCTGGTATTGTGGAAGGTGTGGAAAAAGCCTTAAGCAGCTTCAAGATTGGAGAAACATCAAAAGTGAAACTTGCCAGCAAATACGCATTTAAAGATGTAGGAAAACCAGAATTAGGCATTCCTCCAAATGCAACTGTAGAGTATATATTAGAATTGAAAAACTTTGAAAAGGTAATTAGTATATAAAGAATTATGTAACGTAACAAGTTGGAAATATTTTACATCTGTTAACTCGATATGTATTCTAGGCTGTGGAATTTTGGACTTTAAAGGATGATGAAAGAATAGAGCAAGCTAAGATTTTTAAAGAAAAAGGAACAAACTATTTTAAGAAAGACAAGTATTATTTAGCTATTACAATGTATAACAAAATTACTGAAGTTTTAACAAGTGGAAATTTTGATGGAAGCCTTAAAGAAGAAAAAGATAGCCTTATGTTATCTGCATACTTAAACCTTGCTCTGTGTTACTTGAAGACAGACAAAAATGTTGAAGCAAAGAATGCATGTAACCAGGCCCTAGAGTTAAAACCAAACAATGAAAAGGCACTATATAGAAGAGGACAAGCTTATCTTGCACTAGCATCACCTGAAATTGCAATTGCAGACTTCCAGGAGGTATTGAAAATAGAACCAAAAAATACAGCAGCTGTCAAACAGATTGGAGTTTGTAATAATCTTATTAAGAAGCACTTAACAAAAGAGAAAAATTTATATGCAAATATGTTCGAGAAATTTGCTCAACAAGATAAACAGGTTTGTGAAAAGTAACAATGATTTTACATAATTATGCATTGTTAATTTTTCATTTTTCATTCATGTATAATGTATAATATTGAATGTTTCGTTTTCTTATGATATGTTTCATCATACATTGTTAGTAATGTCACAGAAAGAGGAGAAGCTACAAGAGCAAACGGATGTGATGAGCGTAGCATTGGGTGAATGGGGACAAGAAGAACGACCTGGAGGCAGAGATGCAACTGCCTTCGAAAAAGAGAATCCTAATATACTCATGCTCAATGCTAATGGTACTGGCGAATTTCAGGATATGTAAAATGTTCTTTCCTTTCCTGATACTGTTTGTTCATTTTTGGTGTTCTCATTTTTACCTGCCAACAATCTGAAGGTTTCATCAGTTATTATTTTCTGATACCTTTCAAATTGCGTATTATTTCGATGATAAAACATAAAACTGCATGGCCATTACATTTATGAACTGTGACACATGATACAGAGCCTTGTTATCAAATTGTACATTTAAGAAGAATCACAAATTTCATTGAATGTAACTTGATTTGTTATCATCTTATGCATATCTCATATGAAATAAAACCATTTATCATGAAAATAACAATAAGGTTTATATATTTATATTGTAACTTTAATTTATAAATTTAGTTAATGTAATTAGTACCGATTTAAAAATGTAGATTTAAAGTTATGATGCTTTTGTTAGTACTGTTATGTGTGATTCATTCCATAAAATTATAAATACAGTATAATACAACTTAATAATAATATACAATTCTTGAACAAGATTGTACATTATTACTTTAAATCGCCATAATTATCAAAAATTTTTTGTTACTCCATATTAACACGTTCCTGTCGCTTGATACACGGATGTTTAGACTAAGCATATTATCACTTTGCGGAACATACGAGAACCAACCTAAAGGCCTGGACAGTGAACGTGTTAAACACATCTGGTAAGTATCATTAATTATAGTTTTTTTAATTTATGAAGTCGATTAAAATTCTCATTTTGATTATATACAGTACCGGACAAATGTTTTTGAACAAACACCTTTTGCTGTAGTATTTGAATTAAGGATACCATTGATATTACAATAAGTAATTACAGCCTATGTTGCCTAATTGTTGTTTCGTTAGGTTGACCACACTTCGCTTTATTTTTTAAGTGACCTCGTTGAACAAATTATTTTTTTATTCAATATACCATCGATTTCGGATGCTCAAGCGTTGAGGAACTATGGATGTGACGCTCCATTAAAGCAATCTGATTTTTTGTTTCAAAATTGTTGGCAAACTTTTACCTCATACCATCCTAGAATGGATAAAATAAATATACAATATAATGTTCTTGTGAAGCTCATGTTTCAGATTACAATGTACGCTTGCAAACGAAACGTCCGATACTTTTAACATATGTATATATGTATTATGTTAACTGTAATACATGATATTTCCGTGAATCGTGTATCACACACAAACAGAAAAACGACTGTGTTATACGAATTCATTATCCGGTACTGGTATACTAATGTTTTTACTGCTGGTGAAAAATATAGAATGAATTTGTAATCTGTAATTAAGTAAAATAACAATATGGTGATATATATATATATTTATTTATTTACTTGTTTACAAAATACAGAAGAAGAAAAGTAAATAGTGATTGGAGAAAGTATTCAATCTGAATTGAATTTTAATCACTCTTAGATTATAAAAAAATTGCAGACAACTGGGGTATGTGTCTCAATTACGGAGACTTTAAGTCAGTTTGCGCAATCAAGTATTTATTAAAAAATACTGCTACATAAATTTCATATTGTGAAAATCAATATCTGTTGCTAAACAATTCGTTTTTATGAAGGAATTTTTTTTAAATAAAAAAAATTAAATCTTTGTAATGTATTTAATTACATAAAAGCAGATGTGTTTGTCTGTATTACGGACCCCTTTCAGTAGCTGCAGATGTATTTCGGTGCCCCAAGTTTCGGAGCTTGTCCCTGTTTCGGTGCCCCATATTACGGTGTCTTGAATGTCGCTTCTAACCTAGCTTTCGTGAAATAGGGCAATTTTTTTCCTCTCTATTATAGAGGAAACGGTTTTTACTTGGAGCTTGACTGATGTTGTTACAGATTAGGTTCTACCTATTTATATACAACGATCGACACGCGCTTCACTTTTGGTTTAACGAAAGTGAGGTTATGAAGAAGACCTAAATACGCTTGGGGACTCCATATAACGTACGCACAAGACTGAAAATCACGCGGTATTACGGAATTTACTTAAAAATAAAAATTAAAAGGATTGTAGGTGGTGAATTTAATTTTGTTAATTACACTAAACCTTTTTAGGATATAATATGCATTTTATCCGGCGAAGATGCTGTTTATAATTGATTTATATGAAATAGTTCAGTACATACATATGCAGTTCTTAAGGTTTTGGCCAAGAAATTCTATGAAATCACCGAAAGCGTAATGCATATATTTTAATAAATACTTAAACTATAATCACATGTTAAAATTGTCGTTTTTTACTTTGAATCTTATTTGTTAATAATTACATTTAATTAAAAAAATTTTATTTATGTTTATTTATAAATGTATTTCTTTTAAATGACGATTTTAATACAGAGGCTCCGTAATTGGGACACATATGTACTTGTTTTGTCATTCGTTTTGTTCAGAAAAAAATATACTCTGTGATTTTACTTATATGTACAATTTTTTGTAATTTTTATTATACATATGTACATTTCATCAATTCAATGAATTTTACATCACTTTGTATTCAACTAGAATACGAGGTCATTTATTATTTTATAATATTCTCTTCAAATATCGATATTGTATGTATATAAAAATAACAAAAAACAAGTGCTGAAGTTATCTTGCAATTTTATTGGCAATTTTCCTCACTTGAAATGATTAAACCAATGATATGTCTTACTGTCTATTAAAGCTCGATCAGTGACGATTAAACAATACACGCCTTTGCACGCCTTTAGGGGAGCCACCTGGAGCAACTAAGAAACTCCGGAAACTCCTATAAGTCTCGTGTGGTCTTTATTAGTCGTCAGGATTCGTTCGAAGTCGTCTGCTAAAAGTGAAGTGATTTGGAAAATAATCATCCGTTAAGATGCCTAATATTATAAATGATGTCAAACTAGATTTTAAAGATGTTTTATTACGTCCAAAGAGAAGTACATTAAAAAGTAGATCTGATGTAAGTAAAAATGATAAAGATTTACACATTTATAAATATCTACATTCTTTGTCAAAGGTTTTTTCAAATGAAACTTGAGCATTATGAATAGTGAACGTAATTTAAAATTATAATGACTTTACACGCCCAAGTTTTTCATACAGAATGCGTGACAGAAAACTACTGTTGTTTATGTATTCATGTAACAAAAAATGTCCTTAGAAACATTTCTTATTACTATAAACGTATCATTTATTTTATTTGTACAAAATTACAATATTATTATTATTATTATCATCACATCATATTTTAGCTTTTTAATAATATTCCGAACGGCTAATTATAACTTTGCATTCTTATTTGATTTTACAAAAATCGCTTATGGATTAGTAACAAGAAACATGTAATATACTTTTAGGTTGATTTGTATAGAGAAATTACATTTCGTAATTCGAAACAAACTTATAGAGGAATACCTGTAATGGCTTCGAACATGGATACTGTAGGAACATTTGAAATGTCAAGAGCCTTATCAAAGGTATGTTACAATTAATTAATGTTTTAGTATAGAAAAATAAGATATTAACATTTATTATTTATAAATTTCTGGTATTATATAGAATAATTTAATTAAATTAAATAAAATATTATAATTAAAGATTTGTTCTTTAGCATGGACTGTTTACTACTGTTCATAAATATTATACACCAGAAGAATGGAAAAATTTTGCTAATGAAAATCCTGAATGCCTTAAAAATGTAGCTGCCAGCTCTGGTACTGGAAACGAGGATTACGAGCGATTGACAAGCATTTTAGCAGCCGTACCTGAACTGTCTTTCATTTGTTTAGATGTTGCTAATGGGTATTCGCAAAACTTTGTTGAATATGTTAGAAAAGTGAGATTTGAGTACCCTAATCATACAATAATTGTAAGTAATTAGATTATTTTTCTTGAAAGTATCTTACTTATAATTAAAAGATTGATTATTTAGTACTAATATACACATTATATTTAAAAGTAAAAACTAATTGCTGCCACTGTAGGCAGGGAATGTAGTAACTGGAGAAATGGTAGAAGAGCTGATACTCTCTGGAGCTGATGTAATAAAAGTTGGAATTGGTCCTGGATCTGTATGCACAACACGAATGAAAACTGGCGTGGGATATCCACAATTAAGTGCTGTAATCGAATGCGCAGATGCGGCTCATGGTTTAAAGGGGCATATAATTTCAGTAAATTTGATTACTCAGTTCCTTTAAAATTATGTCATAGAAGTATAAGCACACAGTGCATCATTCTAAGAATATCTTTTAGGATGGAGGTTGCACTTGTCCTGGGGATTTGGCAAAGGCTTTTGGAGCAGGAGCAGATTTTGTAATGGCAGGTGGTATGTTTGCTGGACACGATGAATGTGGAGGAGAAATTATAGAAAAAAATGGGAAAAAATTTAAATTATTCTATGGTATGGCCTCAAACACCGCAATGAAAAAGCATGCTGGAGGTGTTGCCGAATACAGGTTGATAACAACATGTAACAGTATATTAATTATGGACGTACTTTGCATTCTTTATTCTATTAAATGTATAATTTGCTTAGGTCTTCAGAAGGAAAAACTGTGCAAGTTCCTTATAAAGGTGTAGTAGAAAATACTATTCTAGATATGCTAGGTGGTTTACGTTCTGCATGCACATATACAGGTGCAGAACGATTACGGGAATTACCTCGCCGTGCTACATTTATACGCTGTACGCAACAGCTAAATCCTATGTATGGTCCACCACCAGAAGTCTGAAATCTCCCTAACAATTTAATTTATTGTAGTACAGATTTAGGGAAAATGGTTTACTTACTGGGTGAATTAATATGTATGTATTATTTGCTGGCAAATAATATTTATATAAAATTTTAGATCCTTGAATTAACATAGGTGTACATACGTTTTGAGAGTAATTTTTAATTATGTTGAATTCAGTAAGTCAAAAAAAGCAATGTCTGCTTAAAGCACAAATACACACTTTATTATATGATTTGTATTTTCTCCATAAGTATTGCACATTTAACTGTACATACAAACATGTGTACTAGTATACGTATTAAAACAGAGAAACGAAACTTATACATAATTCTGTTTACATTCTAAAGTGGTATGACATCTAACAAATTTATCACATATTGTTGTTCTAATGGTAAAGTTGCAGAAGTATAAAAACTTAACTTTTTAGGATAGAACAAAACTTCTTTGTTACTTTCGTGTAAAATCAACTTACACTGATTTTATTCATCAACTATATCATTTATATTTATTTTTTGTCTATTTGCATATATAGTGAGAAACAAATAAAATCATGCATTTACCTCAGATTCGTAAAAATTGCAGTTTTGCATCATTAGAACGACGATATGTACAAATATATAGTTAATTTACTTAAAATACATGTTTGTAGTACAAAATATGTTTGATATGTTATTCTATTTAATATATGAATACCAAGTAAAGCATAACATTCTACAAAATATCAAATATCAAAAATCAAAAATTGTTATGTACAAGTTTTGAGCAAATTGCCAGTAATAAATGACAAAAGTTGTCTAAAAAAAACCATAGCCATTTGTTTCCGCATTTGACATGGGTTTTACAGGCAACACTAGCTGACAAAATGGTAAAGCGATGTAGCAGAAAGCCTTGCAACATGATTTATGTCAAATTGAGGGCAAAACCAAATCAAGGTTTGCACAAGCCAGTTGGCTGTATGTGTTGGTGTCAACTTGCTGCCTATGTTGCTGCCAGTGTAGCGAATCTTGCATAAAACTTGTAGCCATAACTTTATAACAGGCATTGGACAAAATTTGGCTTTGTAAGTTTAGCTGACTGATGGTAATTCAGTAATCATTATTTTATTTATAATAAAATTAGTATCCAATATAGTTTGTTCAAGAATGTTTATACATACTTCCCTTTTAGAAACAAACCTCTTGTTACGACCCCATTTGTTTTCTGGTGTAAGACTTGTTGGCTGTCATCGCGTAAAGCTTCTCTTACCTATTAATTGATTTCTCTGATTAGAAGTAATGGAAAGTTTGTGTCATCTTTGTTCCTGAAACATTTTTATTACTTTTTATGTATTCTTTTAATTTCAAACACAATGGACATTATTCTTAAAAATGACTTGTATAAAATCGAGTTCATATGATTATATTAAATTTTTTTTATTAATTCATAATACAAAATGATTTTGTTATTTATAAAAACATTTGACAATAAATAAAAAGAAAATTAAGTAATGAACATGTTTACTTCAATGAACTGCAATTAATGTACGAGGACATAATACTAACACACAGGTTTAAATACAATCTCTTATTATGCTGTAATATAAAACAAAAAAAACAAATGATTTTCTCTAACTTAAGTATACAGTACCATGTTGAAAATATTACCCATATGATTAGCTTTTTGAGTTATATTTATGCGAGTTATATTTATAAGAGTCTTGAAATGTGTTACATACACAGGTTCAGATATATGGTAAAAAATGATTAACAATGTGGAAATAAAATTATATCAAACCAGTGCCATTTTAACTCACTACTGAAACAAAAAAAGGAAAGCAAAGTTTATATTGTTTTCATTTTTGTCACTTACAAATACTATAAAAAATATAGAGCAACATTAATTTTGTAATTTCATTAATTGCATGGATGTTAAACACAACCAAAGAAGATTATACTTTAATGAAGTAATATTTCTATAAAAATCTGCTAGAAGCATATTACTTATTGTTATGTTATGTCTACATATACATATGTATAAGAATTCAAATAATGTAACATAATTAAAATAATTATATGAACAGAACATTTAGCCTGAAAATTAAACATGTACAAGGCTGAATAAAATAAGATTTCTAGAAATCGCACAAAAATGTTGCATAGATTATCTATTATTATGTATATATTAATATTATATTATTTGTTATGTATATATAATAAAATACGCTGATACATGTATTAGGATACTATGTACCTTTGAATAAAGTATAATGGCTTTTTATTATAGTAGTAGTGCAAATTATAAAAAATTACTCAAATATGAAGAACACGGATTGGTAATGAGTATTGGTCAGAAATAATAGTTTTAGTTTAAGTTTATACTACATACTCAATGAATGCAATTAATTTATAACTGGAGAAAAATAATGAAATATCCTGGGAAAACGACGTCTGTACTTTCATTTTCATAGCTTACTTATAATTTTGTTATGTAAAAATTAGATTTGTTCCAAGTACATATAAGTAAAATATTAGACAATATTAAATAACAAAAATACAATAGCAGAATTACGAATTACTCTGGGAAATGTCTTTTCTTCTTAACACAATGCATACATATGTTTCATTTTTAAATAATCCTGTGTATTTGCAAAGAAATCTTATTGCTACTAACTAGCAATAATTAAGTTTAAATCAATGAACATATTATTTAGTATTAGAAATATATTTCAATTTTCATAAAATTTAAAAGGTTTGGAAGTTACCGTTTTACAGAACTCAGATCAAATTTGTAGTTAATAATCTACTATAATTACTGTATTCGCGCGGCAAATCATTTGATAGTAATAACAAATTATATGTAAGAGTAACAAATAATGATTTGTTATGCCATCCATAACTCTCCAGTTTTGCAGGTCCTGATTCCTTTGAATACAAACAGACAGATGCTGAATAACAAATTTTAAACAGTAGATCCCCTTGTTGTAATTTATCGAAGCACGGGTATACACATCCCTATAATTGGCAGCTCCAAAAATCTAAAAATAGTAGTGGTACTTGATAAAAAAATGCAAAGGAACTAAGGTAAAATTGTATTTAGTATTGTTATAATAGCATATACGTGTACGTAGACCATCAACGTGTATCATAGTTTCTTGCATACATAATCATTAAAACAATTCATGGACAATAGAAATGTATCTTAGCTGTCTTTACAGCCATTTACGCTATAAACGTTTTGTAATTTACTAAAGGGAAACGTTTCATGAATGAGACAGTGGAACATAAATAATGACATATTGAAATAAGTATCTATATGTTTCTCTTATTAATACATTTTAAGGATAATTTTTAGTATTTTTAATAAGTGGGAAGCATAATATGGATACTGTTGTTGATTCCTCGTTCCTGTTTCTGACCTGCTGCTTCACCTGCCAGTTTCAATTTATATTACAATCAGGCGTTATGGAACAAAAATACACACATATACATATATATATATATATGTGTGTGTATTTTTGACGGTAGACATCATGCCGATACGAAATTATAATGTTAAATTTCTGGCATTTCTTGTGTTATTTAAAATTAAACCATGAGTATCCTACAATATGATATATATCTTTGTGTACAAAAAAAACACAAAATGTCGTATAAATAGAACATTGTCGGTTCTAATAGAATTTTTTTTAAAGTTTATGGGTTGTGTGAAGTGATTAACTATCGTAATTTATTGTAAACAGTATATGAAGTTACAGCAGGCATTTACCGCATCCCGTTGGGAAACTATCTGAAAACTATCTGAAATAAACAAACAATTATAATGAAACACATGGAATGTACACAAATATAAATAGGCTTTCAAAGGTGTAAAATATATTATTTCAATAATCAGATAAAACATCAATATAATACGAAGTTATCAATTTCATGAATATTTAACTCCCTGAAAGTATCAACAGTCATCAGCGCGCATATAACATATCCATCTTCTTACACCATTGATTTTCATAATAAACAATGTGAATATCAAGCCAATATAAACATAAGTGATTGAATATAACAATGTACGATACGTTATATGTATAGTTAACACGTTCAATCCGCTTATCCCATCAGTGGGCCGTAAACGGCATTCTTGAGAGACGACGTGTGCATCACCAGTAGATCAGAATGTCCGGAATTACTAGGTGATTTACATACATGTGGACCAATTAGCAGATACATGAAAATGGACATCGGGTTGAACATGTTAAATGAATAAATATTGTATATATGTATGTGAATATTCAGATTATCGCTAAATTATTTTTTATAGGAAATACAATAAGAATAGTAGGTACTAATACTGATCATAACGATAATAAAAATCATAATGACAGTAATAACAACAAGAGTATGTATAACGTTCACGAAATATGATCAAATGTGCATCTGTTTTGTGTATATAATGTATGACAATCACATCAACAAGATTTCCAAATACAAAGTTTCATGACACATAATTCCACGAGGAATTATAAAAACAATTAAGTAGCAATATGAGTGCTATCGATGTTGATTGAAGTTTTGTAGTTAACTTTGACTAATTGTAAGAAACTTTGCATCTGAATTCAGCTAATGTTTGATATACATATACGAAACAAAAATGTGTTCAACAGTGTTTTAGAACATTTATTTATATTGTGATAAATATTCTTTAAAAGATACCTCAAAATATTTAAGAACTGGATATTTTACTGCACTTAATTTTACATTGACTTAATATAAAAAGGAAATCTTCAAGAAAATTGTATGATAGAATAAAAATATATTTAACTGTTATTACTAGAAAATTAGTAAATCCGATGTATCATATCATCAATCATAACATGTGCATCATTATAAGTGCCAACACCTTTCGATACATATAAAAAAAAAGAAAACTTTCATATCATACAATTTTTTAATAATTTGTATGTACACGTGTACCAACTAAAAATGAATACTTACAGTTTATGTTCCTTGATGGAAGGTTTAACTTTCTGTATTCGATTGTGAATAGGGGTAGTTTTGATAGCCCGTTGGAAAAGATGGATTTTGCTGGCCAGCTTGTGGTTGTGAGGTAGATCCAGCTCCCGCAGGTGCATAATAACTTACCGGAGTTGAACCAGGATTTATTGTCGGATAATTACCATAAGCTTGTGGAAATGCATTAGGAGCTGCGCCCGTTGGTCCTGATTGACCTTGCATATTTTGCTGCATTTGTTGTTGAGCTATTTGATTGTTTTGCATTCCCAACTGAAAAATTTATTGTATTACTTTAACGTGTCTTTAATGTTCTTTTTTGTGTTCAGCATTTAATATACCTTTCCCGCTTTCATTTGAGCTTCTATAGCTTCGGCTTCCTTTATTTTACCAATACTTCTGTAGTATTCTGCCCACTGTGCACTATAATCTGCTTGACCTCCATTTTGAGTAGCTCCTACTTGTTGTGTTGGTTGTTGCTGCTGAGCTGGCCCAGGAGTACCAGGTGCTGGAGCATTAGGTTGATTTTGTGCGTTTCCTATAAACAAAGATATTCAAGAAAATATGTTCAAATTTTATGCATATTAGGTAAGACTCAGTACCTAGTACTTCACCTGATTGTGGATTGTGTTCTGGCTTTCCTTGTTTTGCTTGTTGCTCTATCATGTCTGCTTCTCTATGCATACCTAATGATCTATAATATTCTGCCCATTGAGCACTGTAATCTGGTTGTCCTGTTTGTGGATTTACTTGAACAGGTGCTTGATTAGCTGCATCTGTAATAACAGATAATTGCATACTTGACTTTTAAGTGTTTCTACAGTTTTAAAGTAAAATAAAAATCGAGATACTTGTGTCCGCAGTTTGAGGTTGATTTGGCCATGCTTGATAGGCTGTCCCTGCATTCCAGGTGGGATTATATCCTATTGCCCCCTGTGCTCCCGTAAACGATGGGTTAGCGGGTGCCTTGTTTTAATTTATGCATAATTAATACAATAATAATAATACATATTATTTTTCTTATACATGTTTACCAATTATATCATCAAATATTTACCATGCCCAGTTTTTCACTGAATATTCGTTTTGCATGCTCCACCTGTTCGGGGTTACCTCGAATTATGAAAATTTTTTCATTTTCATTGCTCTGATTTCTCCTATCTAATTCACAATGCGCTCCAGTTTGTTGATTTATTTGTTTAATAGTTTCACCACCTATAATAATCAGAATAAGCAATTACTTTATTCAATTCTTTATGTTTCGAATTTAATAGAAACTTACCTTTTCCAATAATAATACCACATTTGGATGATGGAACGGTAAATGTTGTCTCTACTTTATCTTGCATTGGTCCTCCTTGACGTCTATCCCATCCACCATACTCATTTGGATTACGATTACCACCAAATCCATTGCCTCGTGGACCACTAGTTCTTGCACCCATGTTACCACCACCTCTACCATCATCTCTTCTCTAACAATAACATTTAAAAATAAAACAATTTACCCAATTGTTATAGATTGAAATAACATTAACTAGTATGATGTGTCTCTGATATTATTTACCATTACGCTGTCAATGAGTTCTTGAATACGTTGACGTACTTGTTCTACAGCTTGATGTTTCCCAGATAGTATGCATTTTCTGTCTCCGGGACCGTCTTCTCTTCCTTGTTGAAACTGAACTCTTGCACCAGTTTCTGCCTGTATTTTTTTTATCATATCTCCGCCCTTACCAATAACAACGCCCACTGCTGCCCTTGGAACAAGTACCTAACACAGATACATATATTTACATTTCTAAATATTTTTTCGCACATACATCATTCGTACGTCGTTTATCTGTAAAAAATATATTTTAACCTCCACTCCATCGGTGGTTCCAGAACCATGATTAAAACTATTCTCATTTGAATAATTCCCACTCCTCTCGCTACTTCTTGAACCTCTATGAAACATCTGTATTTCTTTTTCAGCTATTAATTCATACACTAATTGTTTGGCATAGTCAACCTTTTGTGGATCACCAGTTATCCTATGTAAACAGAGCCATACGTAACTTCCAGTACTATGTGCTACTCATTTATGTTTGCAAAATAATTTTGGATATCAATTAATAAATACCAAAGCGAAAACTCTTAATGTTACTACCTTAAAGGCTTTTCTTGTTCTTGAGATGGTCCTTCTTGAATAACAACCATTTTCGCTCCAGACTTTTCTTGAAGTTGCTTTATCGTTTCTCCTCCCTTCCCAATAATTAAGCCAACCTTAGGCCCAGGTATCATTATTTCCACTAATCCTGGATGTCCTCCCATCATTCCACTACCACCACTTCCACTCATATTCATATCAGCAATTCCTTCTGTTCTACTTCTTTGATTGACGATTGACAGTACCAGTTCTTTAGCTCGACTGAAACACAGAATTTAAGTGTGTGATATGACATTGAACTTTTTCTTCTTAATTCAAATATACTCTATTAATGTACAATAATGTAATGTAAATGTAATTTGTTTGCAATACATAATGTAATGTCTACCGTGTGCCAAAATAGGAATAACTTATAAATGTTACATTATTTTTTTGTCGAACAACAAAGAATTATTCCTTCAGTGTATAATAAAATTAAATTTCATGTTAAAATATCATAGGCTTAATCATAAGCAGATTCAAATAAATAAAAAATTCAATTTTCTTCCTGTTGCGAATAACACGTCCCCATGCATATCCTATCCTCCTTCCTTCCTTCTTTCACCATACCCTATTGAAAGCAAAAAACTATTAGTAGGTAAGTACAAAATTATTAAATTAAAAGCCATAACGTATTGATAAGGTCTCAACGATAAATGTTTAGAAGCATATGTCAAGTATGAGCCCGCTATTCACATCCAGGAGCTAAATAAAGATTCTGTAAAACAGTTAACAATTTCAATACGCGAAAGCATATAACTTACATTGAAGACACGAATGTTAATATGAACTGATAGCATATGAAGTACTAGACACATGTAAACTATTACTGGTACTATTTGTGCTTGAAACATATTTTCTAATGGATATACTTGGTGTAGATAAAGCACTGTAATCTTAAATTAATGCCACAATGTGATTTTTAAACCCATATTAAAATAAATAGTTGATACTTTCAGGTGTTTCTATCAGCGATATAACAGTAGAAGTGTATGGATATTCTGTTATTTGAGTAAATTAGAATCTAAAAATTTCCTATAGATACATGAGATACAAGGAGGATAGCAGTTCGTTTTTTGCACATATGTATAATAGTAAACATGTACATACATATTTATATGTATGCACATATAGTTCGTATATGGACAATATGTATATACAATGCATGTATGCATACATTGTACATAAGTATACGTACAAATGTGAAATATATATTTTTCTTCGTGTAATGTAATTAATAAATAAAGCTACTTGCTGTAGCGCCAGAAAATAATCCTTTCCTCTAGGAAAAAGTTTGTAAAGTGAAAATTGCATTGCACACAATATAATTAAAATTAACAAAATAAGAAGGGAAAAACAAGTTACTTGACAGCTTCTCTTGAGCCAGTTAATGTGCAAACACGTTCAGGTAGCCCACCACTTTCGGGTGCCATCTGTATTTTACATCCTGTTTCACTTTGTAATCTTGTTATTTGTTCTCCACCTCTGCCAATTACTGTAAATATATCATTCTAAATTAATAACACGCAAAATAAAAGTTAATACTAATTTAATACTCATAAATAATATCAATCTGTTTTATACAGTATGAAATAAAGGGGTATAACCAAATAAGGAGGTCAAAAATGCCCTTAAACCGAATAGGACTTGTTGTAGACCATTCAATAGTTTACCAAGAAAAAACAATTTGTATCAATTTTCAACTTTCGACCAAGAGAGGAGTAACAGGGAAAATTCGGATTATCAGTTTTTCCTTTATTTTCCCTATTTAATGACATGCAAAAAGTCTGCAAAAAATCTGATAGATGGTAGTTACCGGGATATGTGTTGGAAAATATTTGTCGATATTTTTAAATGCTAAAAAGTGTTAAAAAGTGTGTATTCTTAATTGGAGTGTTAAAGGCACTAGATTTATCTTTTCATAATACCGACATATTATCATAAGTATTACTCTTACATTTTCGAGATTTTTTGGTGGATTGCGTCGTCGTTATAATAATCAAAAACCAATTTTTTCGACGTTTCTTCCGTGAAAAAGTAGAAAGCTTCGCGAGAAGTAAGAAGAATTCTTTAACACATGCCCCCGGTAACTACGATCTGTCCGACTTTTTACAGAATTTTTGGATGTTATTAATTAAATTCTTTTTTCTGGATCAGCTATTGAATTGTTCATAACAAATCCAATTCAGTCAAACAGTAGTTTTAACGCTTTTATCCAACTGCACCCTTTAAGTACATAATTTTTCCTCAAGTAGAATACATAAATAGTAAATTATTTCAGTGAATACTTATATTTAACAATACGTCTTTATATACAATAAACACTTGTAACTTTTTGTTACTTACTTAGACCAACCATCTTATCTGGAACTCTGATATCTTCATTACAAATACCTCCTACATTCCCGATTGGTCCTGAAGATCCTGCTTGACTTGCTCTACCACTCTGACTACTTGAATCTCCTAATGAATTACCTCCTGGGGGACCACGAAGTCCTATTAGCGAGTCTGTTACTAATGATGCCATTTTCTTAGCTTCTGGTTCTGAAATGATAGTTTGACTGTTACTGATAAGTTCAAGATCATTTTTAACGAATATTGTGTACATCATTACTTGATATTACAAAAGGTTTTTCATATATAAAAATTATTATTACACTTATACTTTTCATAATTGTTAAGTATTCAATACACTTAATTTTGTTTTTACACCATAGATATGTTCCCGAAATCTCCGCGTAAAAAAACGTGTAAAAAACACACCATGCACATAAAAAACATTGAGGATTGTCTTCAGATCATGAAAATCAATACAAATACAATAAACCAGTTAAAAATTTCTTTTTCATTACGTGCAATTTCCTAGAAAGATAAGTACGAATGTTTTTTCTTGGAATTCAAATTCAGTGAAAAGTTTTAAAAAGTTATATTCATCAAAACTGTGTTAGATCAAAACAAATTGTACAAAAAGGGAATTTAATTTTTGTCCAGACTGTGCTAAATCAAAATCATATAAAAACAGAATTAAATATATATTAAACTAAATATTTATTTTAAACACAAAAAGTGTATCTTCACCTGATCCATCTTCAAGAGGACGTTTCAGTTTTGTATCCGGATTGGTTTGAGCACCTGCCGGATTGATCTTTGCAGCTATCTAAAAATGAACGATATTCACATTACAAATACCAACAAGTTAATAATTATACCATGTACACTGCTGAACAAAATATGTGTTCACCCTATTCTTGCCTCTCAGAAGATATTACAAAAAATATCATTCCCATCTGTACCATTATGTTCTGTGGCATGGGTCACAATAAGAAAATCCTAAAGTCGTTTAACTATCATTTGAATTTAAAAGTGTAAGTAAAAGTTTAAGTCTGATTTCTAAAACATATTCAAAACATACAAGAATAAGTAAAAAAGTATGCCAAACATATATGTTAAATGCATAAGAACATTAAATACATTTATAAAGTAATGTAAACAATAAATTAAAAGTTTAATCAATTTCTCATTTGTAATTTTCCTGTTACTTAATTCTATACTTTTATACCTTCATTCTGTAATTTTACAAAGGATAAGTACATCTACTTATGACAATAATTATGAAACAAGTGTATATTCTATAGCACTTATATTTTATGGACACTTCTTTTATAATACTATATTTACTTTCCTTCATCTATTGTTACAATGGGAGGCATTTTAACTTTTGGCTTGTAACTGTATTGAAAGCAATGAAACTGTATTGTTCTATACATATCAAAGAAATTTGTATAGACTGAAAATTTTAAATAAAGACAAATTCATTACTGGTATTATGATTTATATCATGGATTATTATAGCATAGATGGATATATTATTTTTTGTTATATATTCAAAGACATAAATGTACGGATGATACAATAAATATCATTATTATCATTACTATTTTTTGTAACGTTTGTTGAGAGGCAGAACTAAGGTGAACAACAATCAAAATACAATCAAATAAAAACTTCAATAAGGTTCAATGTAATTCTTTGTATCTTTTTGAATTTACTAAAATGTTTAATCGAAGAAAAATATCTTGTTTTATATATTTGCATTCATAACTTAATCTATAAAAGTTAAATTTTATAAATATTCACACTATAATCATCACTCAACTGTATTTTAAATCAAATAATGAAACACTACAATGCATTGTTTTAACAATTAAGATATAGTCAAGCAAAAAAGAATTTATATTCCTCTTAGAATAATCAAAACGTTTGTAAAGTATGTGCATACAGCTGCATGAGTATAAACAATCCACTTTAGATGACATAAAAATAATATAATAAATGTAGATTTCTATACATCGAAAATATATTAACGAATGTTCAAGTAAAAATCACTTCACTCTATTTAGAATATTCTAAGAGAATTAACGAAACGCTGTGATATAAACTAATTATTTTAAAATGATCAAACCTATCAAACTAAGTTTTTGATAATATAAGTTGATGTACGGTTTATGCAGATGTAAAATATAGTATAATCTATGTAAAAAGCTTTAATAAGCACGTAATTAATGTTACATTACTATAATATATTAAGTTACTTGTTTCGCACGTTGCAAAGCTGCCGCAAACGCAGAGCTTTGGCTAAAATTTTGAGGCGGAGCAACCGCTGAATAGTCACTCATGATGGAACATGAAGCAGCAATACCAATGAAACTATTCCAATATTTCTTTCTGTAAACTACTCTTAATAACCGCTGTTACGTAAATTCACTCTAATACGTAACGCTTGGAACGTATTCCATACAAAATGTAAATATTTCAATGTAATGCTTTGAAAGTACACAATAGTACAAAGCACAAGTTTACGTGTGAAAAAACTGTGCTTTTACAGAAAGAACAGCACAGCGCAAGCGTCGGTCATAGAATATATCGTTCTGAAGATTGGAAATCATTTCAAATATCTATAATATGGTTGATTCATGCCATGGAGGATAGAGGGAAGGACATGGACCTAAGTAGGTCCATGGGGAAGGAGGACGACACTGATCTATATACTATATAGATCAGTGAAGGACGATCGAAGCCTAATTCCTCTAGAGTCTAGAAAAATGACCGTTGTTGCATCCAAATTTGAGGAAAATATTAATCAAAGAATTGGGTTGGTACCCGTGGAGCGCCATCCGCTCTGCTTGTTATTTTAAATTTGTAAAGGAGAACTTCTTTTAAACTCCAATTTCTTATTTTATTAATATAGATTTAAACATTAACAAACAACTCAATTTAAATGAAATATAATTTAAATTAACACAAGGAAATAGAATACAATTATTTGTATTAAATACAAGTTTACTTTTAGACGTTAGAATCAAGTTCTTAATTGAATATCATTTTGATTTTTCGTGAGTTTTTATACATGATGTTTTCTTGTTTTTTTGACAACAAATTTTATGAATAAAATCTTTAACAACTAATTTAATTGGACAATTTGATCTTTTAAACGAGCGTTTCATCTATTAATCTATTCTATGAACAATTCCTTAGCAACTAATTAATAAACATTATATTTTGACATTTAATCAATTAATTATAAGAGTTAAATTTAGCGCCTTTAAAGGAACATACAGTATACATTATATATAGATGGCGCTCTAAATCAAACCAATGATACAGGTGAATACGTAACACCACCCCCGTTATTATAAAAATGTTTTATATTTGATAAAAAAACTTTAAAATTTCTAAAATTATAATTCAAATAACTCCATTTAATAATAACTTAATTGATGAAACACATAAAAATCTTAAACTACTATTCAACTTAACAAATTTAATCCGCCTTAATCTGCTGCTAAGTTTATTAATATGAACAATTTTTGTTCTATTATTTCTTATGAGTATTTCAACATTATAATCATTAAATTTTCGTACAATTTTATATGGTCTTACCCATGGAAGATGAAATTTAGAAGTTCTCGGTTCTTTTAATAAATAAACATCGTGTCAATTTCAAAATTTTGCAGATTTATATTTTTGTCATAATAATTTTTACTTTTTTCTTTCGCTTTTCGTAAATTTTCCGCAGCTATTGCTTGAGTGATTATCATTTTTGTAAATAAATTGTCCAAATAATTATTAAAGGTACCTTGGGTATTACAGTTGTGGGTCTACGTACATGTATTATGTGTGCAGTTTGCGTTTTCTCAGGAATGATTTAATTTTACCAGGTATGTTCACTATTTTGTAAGTTTTATTATTAACATACAATATTATTCCAGTCATATTTATTTAAATGTAAAACTTTTGCTTTAAATATTTATATTTCATCATCTATCTAAGTTTGTATCTTACATGTATAAATCCTGAAGATTTGAGACCCCTTCCCTGTAAAATAACAAAGATTATTTTATTAATTAATTATCAAAAATTACGACAAAATCAACAGTCCACCCAGTTATTGTTTGTCTCTTACCTCTTGATGTACAACAGTGTAAATAGTAATTATGTGTTTGTACTTTTGACCAGCACCAGTTTTACATGAAAATAAACAATTGTTTATTGTATTTGTATTATTTTCACTGCACAAATTAATGTTTATTTCGTGTGGCGGATCGTGTAACTTACTTGTCTATAAACAAAGTGCAAACATATCCACTGAATTTTATGTTCCGTCACCGACGAGGTATAGAAGGTATCAGAAGGTCAGAATAGCCCATAGCCTATATCGTCTACATATCACTACATATCCTACATATCACCCATATACATAATATATATAATAGACTGCGCAGTGCGCGGTGCGCGGTCTTATGGTAGGAATGAAGTCTGCATTAGTCGGCGGCACTGGTCGGCATTAGAAAGAGAGGACAATAACTGGAGTCTAGGGATGAATCGATGCGAGTAAATACGAGTACACCCACGAGCAACTCGGCTTCCACTAGGGGAAAAGCGGAGTAGAAGAAGTCTACTCCTACCACTTGGTAAATTTATTCCAGGTACTGAAATAAATGTTAAATTGAGTGATAATTTGGCATAAATTTCAATAATTCTCAAAACCAGGTGGTAGGAGGTCTTTTCCTTAATTCGTTACTTTTTCCCCACAAGTTGTATCGTTGATATATGTTCGTTAATATCTCGTTAACGAAGCCGCACCAAACATTTTCGTTAAGGAAAAAGTGGTTTCAAATCACCCCAGCAACTCCTCATTACCCGGAAGAGAGGCACTTTTGAGACACCCTGTATAGGGTATATGTAATTACAGTTTATACACCATACGATTTGGCGCCAAATTTCGTGTCACCAGTGCCACCAAACCGCACTGCCGAAAATATCAGTACAATAAAACTCGCCCTCGTTCAGTTCATTTCGTTTAGCCGAATGCAAATTTTGCACTGCACTGGGGCAGTTTTTGTTCGTCGAATACGATACAAAAGTTGCATGCTAATCGTGCAACACAACCGAATACGATTATTGCACTGCACTGGGGCAGAAAGCATCATCCAAATGTGCGGCACCGAAAAAGTTGGCACTCAGTGCGCACCAGTGCGGGTTCCCGAATTCGCTATTAGAAGGATAGATTGGTTGGTCTAGATATTTTTGGGGCATGACAAATATACCATTTTCATTAACAAATATATTTTTGTAATTGTAAGTCGAATAATTTGCAAGATACATATTAAAGGAAATGTGGTTTTCACTCCCCGATTTGAGGGCTGTTTTCACCTCCTAGATCTGAATTTCAGCAGCTAAAAAAATACATGTAATATATTTTTTAATATATTATCCATGTACCAAATTACATAAAAATTAGTGTTTTATATTTTAATGATATCCCTTGTTAGATTTGTTGCTCCATTACAAGAAGGGTGGTCCATCAAGCTTGTTTCTTATTGTTACCTCGCATATCACGTACAAATTCACTAAATTCCAAACGAAAACAAAATCTACTACGGGTCGTAAGACTAGAGACCTCAGGTTTATTCGGTAGTGTTTATGTTGCGAGGTTATCGCGGGCCGGGTCGATCATTGGATTGAAACGACCGCCCTAGGATAGCTAGTTCTATCCTGAAAAGGAAATTCAGGGACGAAACTAGCAAATCGGCGTTGGACGCACATAATCGTTGACAGGTTCGCAGCATGGTGCGAGAGCGCCCTGTCCTATTTACCTTTGACGAGCGCATTTCTTATATTTTCATTCCGAAACAGGTAGAATTATTACTTTTCTGTAGAATGTATAGACTATAAATGAGATAAAGAGAATGTTTTAAACCTGAACTATTAAGCAAACAAAATTAAATAATAACCGTTTATTTTCAATTGCAACTTATTAAAAGAGTTCTCAATTTGACTACTAACACTCGGGTAGTCGGAATGATGTATGCAATTACATATTTCGATTGTCGGAAAACTGCTGAATGATACTTACCTTTTTGATGTAAATGATACATGTATATGTCAATCGGTAAAAATCGATAAAGAATGTGCTTTGTAGAAAAATGACAAGGAAATTGTAAATATTTACAGTACGTTTTATTACACAAAATAGACATGGAAAGGTTTCTACCTTTTATCCCATATATTCAATATTTTGAAAATAAATGTTTTTTAAAAACATTTTTCATAAATTTAACATTTCTTTATTTTACATTTGTCTTGAAATTAAAATATCGTGCTTTCTACTTACAGTACTAAGAGTGATACGCTTTGAATTTAAACACAGATTATAAAATTAAATCTAATAATTAAAATAACACAGAAAGAATTATAATTTGTAGAGATTCCCAAATAAATGAAGAAACGTAATTCCCGTCATTGACTAATTTTGTACGTTACACGTGTAAGGCGTCATCTGGATAAAGCAGAGCTTGCTTCTGACTTTCCACTTACAGCAGACTGTAAACTCATCATCGACCCTCTAGAAAAATAAAGAAACAGAAATAGTTATGTAAATTATATCAATCATTGTGTGGGTAATATAAGGTTAAAAATACCTATAGTGAACCGATGGCAATGTCTCATAAAAGTACATCAACTGCGCTTTGTGACCACTTATGGATGGAAGAAACTCTCCTTGGTCATCTTGATTATACCACTGCAACACATATATTCCTGCTTCTTGCATTATATGAGATCCCTGAAACAAAATATACCAAATCAAGTACACTCTCTATAACAGCTCTGTCACTCGGTTTGGTAACGAGTTGCTACCGCGTGGGTCATGAATGTCGATGGGTAGGACACCTCGTGTGCTACGAGTCGTAAAACGAGTGGAAAATAATCATATTAAATACAGATCGTATAAAGTGGCTGTATAATCCTTGTCAATATGTATAACGCGATTGTAAATTAATGCGTTGTGCGGCGACACCTATTGATATTGTACTTAGGGTCTAGGGTTGCTAACCGTGCTTTTTTTGGAAAGGAAAGTCCTTTAATCAGCTTTCCTGTCCTTGTCCTTTTATAAGTTTAGAAGAAAATGCCAAATGTCCTTTATTTCGAAATTAAAATGTGTCGAATTCAATGAGTTTTAAATTCCTGCAACATCAGCATACTGTGACAGAATTTTTAGTGTCATGTCAACTAAATGGAGAAATGAACGAAACAGGTGTTCGGTTGAACTTATAAAAAATAAATTATTTAAATATTTTAATTTGAAAGAAAGTTGTTCCGAATTTTCCGAAAAAATAAAAAGTGATGCACATTTCCTCAAGTCTGCCAAAAATCAGAACAAATATAATGTAAAAAATTAAAAAGTTTACTTTAGCTGTAGGTTTAAAAGTTTCAAGTACTTTTTGAAGTTTTTCTACATTTTTGAATTAACATTTTTAAAATTGAATTCTAATGATTATTCAAATAATGCATCTTTTGTGTTTAATATGTCGATATATTATTACCTAAATTATGAAAGTAAAACTTTTTTCGATTGTTTTCGGAGTTTTAAGAAATTGTTCATTCACATGAATATTAATTCTAAAATTGTATTCCAATAATTAACAATAATAATAAAAAAGGAATTAATATAAATATATTTTGTAGTGAGGTAATGATAAAAAGAAAAAGATTGTCGATTAACTGTAGTCCATTCACTGATGGGGTAACTGTAACAATGAATGCTGAAGAATACATACAAAATAATTCCTTTGAAACAAATTCAATCCCTATTATTGAATCAGTTGGAGACTGGATCCAACATTCATGAACAAGTGACGAACTTTAAGTCCATTTAATTGTAACTGTTATTAAATTTAAATTTTATCAATATAATTAAAATGTAATTTTACTCAAGTATTCAGAGATGTTTTTAAAAAGAATAAATATAGATCCTGTCATTAATATTTCAGAAAAGTAATTTTAGTTTTAATTTCCCGAAATCGAGTTAAATGAATTACATAATAGTACTACACAGGTGCCACCCCTTGTTAACGTAATCCCTCCTCTCGTTTCATACTGACTACATCGTATTTCAAGTTCAATAAAATCTTTGACATCAAGAACAGAAAGTAATATATTTAACATGGAATAGTTCTCACAAGTCAACCTGTTCTTGAATTTCATTACTATGTAGTTTAGCTACTAATACTACGATATTTTTCAGCGATACTACGGACGGCAAATTAGGTCAAGTTTAAATATCAATAAGTATCCATGTTTGCCTCTGTAAGAGGCACTGATTGTAAGTACTCTCTTTCATTCCACCTGGGCTCCGTACTGCCACTTAAAATATTTTAACTAATATAATCTGGGTCATACGGTAGATACAATTACCTGAATACTTTCACCGTCATGACAAAGAATGTTGGGTTGCACTTTAACGAAGTGTCCCTTTACTTCTTCAGTTTCTAGTACTTCAGCAGCTTCATTTGCCAGAGATTCTGAAGAACCTGTAAACATTAATTATTGCATTATGAAGAATTAGATAGTAAAAGGGTTTTCTGTATAATTAAAGGTGTACTATAATACTTTTCTATATGTACCTGAAGAAAGAATTTGCTTGTTGTCATCATTAGCTTGATACAACACAGTAAATATCACATTATGTCGCATTACATCAAAGTCCCATGTTAAAACTGACCCTCGATCGTTGGAATGTATTATTATGCGATGTATTTGTCCGCGACTTAGGCTAATGGAATGGTATAAACTTTGTTCATGTTCAGTGGATGTGTTCTCTAAGTCCATTTTGTAAAGATGTTTCGGTACAAGTCCTCCTTCGTTAATATAAACCTGACATCAGAAAAAATATAATTACATTTATGATGGAATAATATAACATAATTGTAATACAATAATATAAAGAATGCATCTAATTTTCGAGCGGTCATGCTGGTGGATTTTCCCACCATACAACACTGTTTGCGTACTTTGGAAACTGAATTGAGGCTCTGCCTGGGTCCATTTTCAGAACCTGTTGAGTAACTTTTTCTGATTATAACTTCTAATATAACAATTCTTAATATTAATTATAACTTTTAACATATTACATAACTATATTAAATGATATTTTTATTATTGTAAAAAGTAACTTTAAATGTATTATAGAAGGTACCTACTACAAAATTATAGAAAAAGCTAAAACATGTACAGGTTCCTCTCGATTATCGTCTGGCTTGTCGTACGCGTTTATTGTCCAGGCGTTATCCCCACCACTGAGGGAGGTGGAGGCCATGAAATCTGTCAAGCGCATACTTTATTGCACCTCCGCTTTTGTTGCCGAGGCTTGTGCTTCGGACAAAAAACGAATTTAGGAGGGTCTGAAGCATTTCTCTCTATATGATTATTGTCCCGGCGCAGACCCGAGTTCGGGATGATAATCGAGAGAAGTCTGTAGTCTGTATGTGTCAGAAGTCCCTGTATCATTTCAGTATTCCATTCCTTGCTAGCGAAACCGGGGAAATAATGTATGCATGAATCGATACAAGTAAATACAAGTACATTACTCGATAGCTTTTTTTCGATACCCAGTACTTTTGGTATTGATACATACGGTTGCGATACCACGTAGGTATCGAAAAAAGTACTCGTATCGAATGGAGCCCAGTCAGCCAGACCTGCTCTAAACATATATTACTAGATTCTGCTGTAGACCCGATGTGCAGATTTGCTGCAAATGTGCTAGACGGTCTGCTACAGCAGTACTGACAGTAAACTAGCAGCAGCAATATAATAGGCCTGGTGTCATGATGTAACGTCAGAAATTGAAGAGAGCTCTAATATTCTGACGGCAGCTTCACCTCACAAATGCAGTAAAACTGCGCAATTTACTTTATTACATTTTAAATCGATTATATTTTATCTAAATGCAGCTGCAATCGATATTTAAGTATTTAAATGATTATTTAATATTAAATCACAAAATTAAATGTCAACAAATATTAATAATATATGCTAATGAAATATTAACTTTTCTGTATTACTGAAGTTTATATTGTTCGTATTTTATCGCTTATAATAAGAAATAAGTATATGTAAATATTTCACTGTGAAATAATACATATTTACATTTTATGCAATAATACATACACGTATACTCGTAATATATATACTCGTAATGTTGAAAAACATAGCTGAAGCTCCTACTCTACTTCCACCGTGCTCATACCAAGCATATCTCTACACCTGTCTCTGTGTGCGCTGCCCTGTGCTGCCCCTTCGGATTTTTCCGCAAATAATCCACGTTTCAAATTCACATGGTCATTTCTTTCATTTGAAAATATTGTTATTGAGTAGAAATAAGCTTAACGACATTTTCTTATAAATATTAGTGTTCACGGTACACTATATGTATACATAAACCATTAGACTGAATTGAAGTAAGCATCGAATATATTGTTTATTAACATTACGCTACACCTTTTTTTGTTATGTTTGCAGGCAAATAATTTTCAAATGTGTGGGAACCGATGAGAAGGAAGAAAGAGTTGGTGACTGAGCAATGTGTCAAGAACCACAGATGACAACATTGAGGAGGTCATCGACTGTTTTATATATAAAACAATCTGGATAATTCCCTCTGAACTATGAAGGACAGGAAAGCGGCAGGAAACGACGGAATTCCAAACGAAGTGTGGAGATATGGAGGGGAAGAAGGAGAAGAATGGGCGTGGAAATGCTGTAACAGAGTATGGAAGGGAGAAGGTTGGCCGGAAGGGTAGAAGGAGGGGGTAATAGTTAAGAAGGGAGAAGGGAAAAAGGTAGGGGAGTATAGGGGGGTCACGCTTATGTCAACAGTGGGTAAGACCTACACAACGGTGCTGGCGAAAAGGTTAAGAAAAGAAATGGAAGAAAAGGAAATGATACCACCGAACCAAATGGGCTTTAGGAAAGGGATGGGAACAATGGATGTAGGGATTTTATACGGATGCGGGTAATAAAACAGTTGGAACGCAACAAATTATGATAACTGAAACTATATTTAATATAAGAACTATAGCATAAAACAACAAAACAACAAAACGACTACATTACAACACACGACAAACGACTAATCTACGACAACGACTGACAACTCGACTTTTATCCAACAGACTGACTCGAAACCACGCACTCTGCCCTCTCTTAAGCATCCACACCTACAACACACACCCAAGCCTTGCATCCCTCGCTCTCGAACTACGCAACCATTCCTAGAAATTCCAATCACCCAATATCCAGTCTAAACAGTCACACGAAACTCTTCTGCACGAAGCTAAACAAATCTCACTCTCACTTTGCTCTCGGAAATCTTTCACGCTCGGCTACAAACATACCCACGACCGATCCATGCTACATTCATCCACATACCACATAGATAATATATATGTGACGAATCTACGTTATAAACGGGCAATTGGAAAAAGAAAGAGGGAAATTAATAGCGCTTTTCGTAGACCCAAAGGCGGCATTTGATTCGGTAGACAGAAAGAGGGGGTGAGAGAAGGGTTAAGGAAAAGGATAGAGGAGGTGTTATGGGCAACGAAGGGCAGAGTAAGGGGAGGGGGTGAGGGAGAGATGTCAGACGTCTTTTGGACGGCGAGGGGGATTAGGCAAGGGTGTTCTCTGAGCCTGTACCAGTATAATCTGTCGACGGCGGATATGGAGGAGAAAATTAGGAAAGGGAAAAAGGGTGGATATATTGGGTGGTATATATCGGGAGGAAGGAAGTATACATACTAGCATACGCAGATGATGTGCTACTTGGGGAAGTGGAGGAGCATATGGAGGACATTTGGACGAAAAGAAACTCACACTAAACGAAGGAAAATCGAAAGTGATGAGGTTTAGGAGAGGAGGGGGGAAGGTGGAAAAAGACAATATGGAGATGGAAAGGGAAGAAACATGAAGACGTATAGGAATACAATTACCTGGGATATCGCTGATGCGCAATGGTCAAAGCAAAGCTTATGTAAGGGAAAGGGTGAGGACGGCAGGGGTCGTAATGAAATGGGTATGGGGAATAGGGAAGGACTGGGAGAGAAGAATATGGCTGTGGGACGCTAGTGTGGACAGTCCTGGCATACGGAGTGGAGATATGGGGTTGGAAGGAATGGAGGGAGATGGAGGCTCTATAGGAAAGGTATCTGAGGTGGACACTAGGAGTGGATTGGTGTACACCAGGATACATGGTGAGGGAAGAGACTCAGAGATACAAGCTGAGCACAAGAGCTGGGGAAAGAACATGGGGACTCGAAAGAAAACTATGGGAAGGGAGGGGAAACGAACTAACAAGGAACTGTTGGGAGTAATTGACGATGAGGGAGGGGGAAGAAAGGGAGTCGTCAAGTTGGAAGAAGGAGAGAAGGGGATTTCTTAGAGAAAGAGGGGTAGGAATGGAAGAAATGAAGAGAAGAGGGAGTCGGGAGAGATGGAAGATGAAAAAATAGAAGAGGTAGACAAATACATGAGAAGGAAAGATGGGAGAGAATAAGAGAGTCGAAATACAACGGGTGGTATAGAGTAGTGAAGGGAGCTGGGGTTCCAGACTATCTCAAAAAAGGGTGGGCGGAGGTAAGATGGAGTAGGGTAGCAAGATTTCAGGGGGGGAAGGGGCAATCGCCCCCCTCCAGAGAAGAGCCCTTCCCTTAAACACCTATAGGGGAGGGCAATGGGCGGGGCTGGCCGCGATCATACCGAGCGTTCCCGATGCCAGCCCTACGCCAAGGGGGGTTTTTAGTGGGTGAAATCCCACATTGGCCGTCTCCGCCCCCCGCGGAGGCGGTGCACCTTTTCAAGGTTTTCCCCCCGTAAAAAAAAGGGTAGTAAGATTTCGAGTAGGGAACGAAGTGAATGAAGCGAGGTATGCAGAAGGAAAGATAGAGACTTGAGAACACGTGTGGGAGTGGTGCAGACAAGGAGGAGAGAGGACAGTAGGTTGACAGGAGAGTGAGAGAGATACTAGGAGACGAGGGAGAGGGGGAGAAGTGGAGGAAAGAGCTGGAAAAGTTGAGAAAGGAGGTGAGACAGGAGGGGGACTGAAAAAGAGAGGGAAGGGGGAGTGAAAAGGGAAGAAAGGAATGAAAGAATGAACGAATGGAAGGATTGTAGAACATCTACGCTTGATTCTATATAATGTATTATATTTTTTAAAAAAATATAATACATTCTATAGAATCAAGCGTAGATGTAAGTATAAGATAAACGAGCAAGCAAAAGAGAGAGAAAGAGATGGGAAGAGTGGAAAAGCGGATAAGGGCGACGAAGCTGATAGCGATTAAGTAAAATAAGGTAGAGTGAGAGATAGTCGATAAGAAATAGAAATCATTGGAACCCTATAGGGAAATCAATAAACAATTACAATATTGGAAACAAAATATTTTTTGCAAATATAGAAGAAATATTCATTTAATATTGGAAACAAAATATTTTTTTCCGAATATACAAGAAATATTTATATTTTATTATGAAAACATATCTTTCTCCAAATATAGAGTAGATATTCATTTACTATTAGAAAGAAAATATTTCTTCTGAATATACAAGAAATATTTGTTTCCACTCACTTTTCAATACTGATTATTGCTGATTTGATCTGAAATTTGGAGGAAAGTGAGATATAATAATTTAACACATAAATGTGGTCCGAGTCTGTGCACGTGCGCAACACTTCTTTATGGTAAGAATCTTCACGGTCGGTGAAGTCGATCGGGGCTGGTCGCGGTAATGTGGCAATCATGTGGATCAGCAGAGACGGTACAACTTTTGAAGGTTTTACACCCGTTAAAAGACGGTCGGTGAAGGGTATAGGTATTTCTTCCAATTGATTCTATCGTGTTGTCATAGCTTACTTATGTAGTACAATATATTTAAATTCGATTTGCTTGAGTCATTATGTAGCGAACCCCATATATGCATTGAAAAATCATCTCTGTAAGAGAAGGTCCACACGGCTCATTCAGGAAGCAGCTTGTCCAGTAATCCGTAAGTCACGAGTTCGAAGCCCCACAGGTAGCGAAAAATTTCCGAAGCCGAAAGTGTTTAATAGAGTAGGGGGGGGGGATAATCACGGAGAAGACTAATTTCGGATACGTGAAACGACGTATAAAAATTATTTTAATTTTTTTAAACATTCTTTTTACACTTTCAGTATTTATTTGCTATTATCTAAATATTCAACTCATATTTTTTAAACGTTTCTTTTATAGTCTATGAATATTTAGTTTATATTTTTTAAATATTTATTTTATATTTACTGTATATGTATACAATATTTGGATTCAATATTTATTTCAAATTAAAAAGTATGGCTAAAAAAATTTTTTTTCAATATTTGAAAAACATATTTAACTAATATTATTGTGCTACTAGGGTAGCATACTTCGATGAAAATTTCAAACACGAGTTTCAAATATTTTGGCACACCATAAAATAGAAATGAATGAATTAAATTTGTGAAGTCAGTGGAGAAAACTCGAAATCATATTCTCCTTGTGCGTCAAAAATTGAATAAGCCAGATGTACTTTACATCTCCTTTCGTTCCTTGATGGATTTGAGTACATAGAGATCGTTCTACTGTGCTAACTCTTTGCGGTCGTAATTGCCTCGAATGTATTTTACATTTACTGTATATGTATACAATATTTGGATTCAATATTTATTTCATATTAAAAAGTATGGCTAAAAAAATTTTTTTTCAATATTTGAAAAACATATTTAACTAATATTATTGTGCTACTAGGGTAGCATACTTCGATGAAAATTTCAAACACGAGTTTCAAATATTTTGGCACACCATAAAATAGAAATGAATGAATTAAATTTGTGAAGTCAGTGGAGAAAACTCGAAATCATATTCTCCTTGTGCGTCAAAAATTGAATAAGCCAGATGTACTTTACATCTCCTTTCGTTCCTTGATGGATTTGAGTACATAGAGATCGTTCTACTGTGCTAACTCTTTGCGGTCGTAATTGCCTCGAATGTAGGCTTGTTTCTAGTCAGAATTATCTCTCATTGAATAATGTGACATGTAAATGAATTAAGCAAACTTATGTGAATTAAACAAGTATTATAGTTTTATAGTGGTTTAAATATTTAAAAACTGTAATGTCTTTTTTATTTAAGAATTACAATTATAACTTCTAAGTTTTCATTTATGGTATGTTTGGAGCTATTTTTAAACGTGGAGGCTTCAAAATATCTCCTGTATTCTTGTAATGTGTTGACATAGACCAACATTCAACATGTTTGATGCCGTGGTGATTCGATCAAAATGGGTCAGAAATAATGTCAGACACTGTAGTCAAATTTTTTAATAAGATACTGTTTCCTTATATTAGAAGTGCTACATGCAATAAAAAAAATACGGAATATCTTCTCTGTCTCTGCACTAATTTTTAACTGTTTTATAACACATATATCGCAATATATTCATAAAATATAAACAATCAACTATTTTACTAAAATTTCTATTAATCTTGATTATCACAAAAGCAGAACGAAACACCACATATCACTACAGCTTTAAACACATAAAACAAAGATAGAAAAATCCTTACGTCAATAGGAGTTGCGTCGAAAATATAAAATCTTCGAGGTACCATATCATAAACCTCGCAGATATTGGCCTATTCGTTAAAATACATTATTGTTCAACATGAAATTCAGTCTGTGCAATAGTATACATATGTAGACTATAATATGCACGTGTTTCTACTTGAGATGAAAAATATATAGCAAAGTTATTTCTTAATTTTACATATGAAGGATACTATTGTTAGCTATAATCATCTAATAAATATACATTTTCAACTATTGTTAGAATTACGGGGTTTAGAAAAATAAAATTGCAATTTTTATACTAATGATATAATAGGTAATATTGGTTATCCTTACCTCACATGATCCTCCCAAAAATTCGGGTATAATTTCGGAGCTAATGTACTCTGTCAGGCTGCCTGGACCTTCCTCTTGATAGTTCGTGCCACAATAAAATATAAATTTCTTTCTTGTATTTTCATCTGTGTGAGATAATGATAAAAGTTAAAACACTTTTAAAGAAATTCATAGTGCAACGAATATTATCTACGATTTTACAAGACTTAATGCATTCTTACTTATAAATGTACTAATAAGTGTCCATAGAATGGGAAAGCATCTTGGAGCTCGCATAAAGACAACTCTTCCCATGGTTTCTGGATAATTTATTTCAACAATTTCAATAATACGTAGCAAAGCCTACAACAAAAAATGATTACAAACAATTTTACTTTTAATAAAGTGTCTCTGGGTTCACAAATCAGATGAATACAGATCGTAATACTTCTGAAATATGTGGTCAATATTGTAGTATGAAAGGCTGATACATTTAATTTAAACGTTTCAAGTATTTTCATTTTCTACTGTTCACGTTGAACATACAGGGACCTCGTGATTATTGACTGATTGTTGATCCACGATTATTGTCCAGGTGTCATCCTTACGACGGTGGGGGGGGGGCGTGGAATCAGTGATACCCAGGGATGAAAAAAGTAGCATTTGTGTGAAAGCGCTCCTATACCGGGACGAGAAGTGTTACCCCTGTACGACCGACGGCCCGCTAACAGGCCTACAACCGCTCCCACTTTTATGATCACCGTTACGTAGTAGAGTAACGAAAGCCCAAATCCCGATACCATTCCCATTCTATTTATAGACAAGGGTCGCACCAAGCGCTAAGCTTACGACTACGAATGTGTCGAACGTAGGAAATTTTTCTTTTCTTTTAATTTAGCAAGTTTGACCTATTTGAATAATACTTGTTGAAGTCGAAATATCATTTTTATGACATAGAAAATAATAAATAAATTCCTGTTTTCAAATTTCTCAAAAATAATTCAATGAAATTTTGTTTACTGTTTGCCTACTGAAATAATTAAAAATTATACTAAATGTGGGAATATATCGGATCATAGTTGTGAAAATATAACGACGCATTGTTTGTTACAATCAAGCGTTCGTTAAGATTAAATGATATTTAATTTTACTTAAACTGAATTTCAATTTTTCGAGATTAGTGTATTTTATTGTATGTTGCATTACAACAATTTAATGCCCTCCACGCCAACAAAATTATTTATATCTGATTGTGAGTTACAAATGTGTAAGATGGCTATATTTTCAGCGTAATGTAATAATTTCTACAATAATATATACGTTAATGAACGTCCTTTCATAGCTTTCGTCTATTAATATTGTACCTTATTTTTTAATATTGCAAAATTAGATGTAAGGATGTTATGACCGCGCTAGGGTTGCGGGTTGCGGAAGTCACCCAACGGTACAAGTTTATGACGATAAATAATGATTTTGTTAAATAATAATTAATAATTATAATAATAGTTTAATAAGAAATAAGTTCTTTAACTTTGTTTAATTTTAATTTTGTTTTATTTAAAATATATATTTTCTATAAAACATTTATAATAAACCACAGTTAAATCCACTATGTTTGTTTTTAATGCACAATTTCACATTTATAGATTCAGTTCATAATTTTTATTATTTTATTTTTTTCTAATTTTGTTTCTTTTATTTATTGCATTACATTAAATTTGTTGCGCTTTTGTTTGAATTTTCAAGTTTATTATTAAAAATTAGGTATGAATAATTTATTGAATGTTATCTCCAAACACTGAGACAGCTAAATTAATCACTAGGACATGCCGTAAATAACGTAAATTCCATCCAATAACTCGGCCAAATGAACGCTTTTAGAATTTTTAAATATTAAAAAAAGTGCCGCTTTTTAAGCGGTAATAGGAGCAGTTGTAGAGCGACTCTGTTGTGAAATCACTTTTGTTACTCGGAACGGTATCTGAGTTATGAACAACCGCTCCTGCACGAGCCGGTTTGCTTATTTTACGCTCCCTGGATTATGGTAAGCGCCAGACAGGTAACCGGGACGCGCTTCTAAAACCCAAGTAAGCGGTTGTAGTATCAATTTACAGATAGCAATCAACAGGGGGTAGCGTTTCGCAGAAAGTAACGGACGGTAGATACTTCGAGCGCTTCTATTACTTAAGCGATTTGACGCTTTGGACCCTAAACTGAGTGGCGCTACTGCGTAAAGAGCGCTTACATACCGTTTCGCAACGAGCGCTTCGTTACTTTTTTCATCCCTGGAGATGCCAGAATCGTGGGTCACTTTACTCCCACCACTCTCCCAATCCGACGTACCGGCATCCCCCACTGTACATCGATCATGCTGGTACACACAAGCATATCCCAAATCCCAGCCCTGTTCGTCATGTGCGCTGGCCGTTCGAGTCTTTACGCCGACAGTCAGTACGTCACTCGGCAACGTAAACAATGAGGAAACCTTGGAGACCCTTGTCGAATCTGAATTCTCACTGCGGCGAAAATTCACGTTTTCGACGCGATGCCCGGAAACCTAAGCGCGTGAGCAACACTCAGGAAACCCTGTTTGAATCCCAATGCGGCGGTTTTACTTTTTATTTTTAATTATTTTGTAATTTCACTTTGTAACCTCTCAGTAAAATAAAAAACTTAAAAATATTCATTTATGAGGTATTTAAAAAGAAGAAAATAAATGTTTCCACTTCAGTATTTTAATTTTTTTATACAGGGTGTCCTAAAACTGTCTTCCGACCCGGAAATGGGGCACTCGGGGGGTGAATTGGAACAACTTTTTCCTTAACAGCAATGTAATCTGAGGCTTCGTTACCGAGATATTAAGGAAAAACCGTGACCAATCAGAGCGCGAGTTTGCCAGCCGTGTTCCCGCGCTAGCGGTGGCAACGCGCTACGCTTGTATTACGAAGCTCCAAACAAGTAGGTCAGTATGCATCGCAGCAAACTGCGTATGATAGCCAATTAAAAAGACGTAACAAATAAAATCATACTTTTTATCATCTGCCGTTTGTTATTTAATGAGATTAATGAATGAAACGTAAATGTAGGCAAATTATGTGCAACGTAAAAAGACGAATGCACAATTACTTTTTTGTAAATTCCTTTTTACGAATTTGTAAAGGTAATGTATTTTTTATTAAAGGCACGTATTTTTTTTAGTATTCCGTCAAATATCTCGGAAATTATTAGAAATATAAAAACCATATAATTTGCAATATTGTGCTTGTTTTGATATTGAATGTAGCTATATCATTGAATTCCAGAATAATCCCTTTCTTTAAATAATCTTTCGCCGACTCCTGACAGTGCGCGGTGCAGGTAAATCCAAAAAAAATTCTCCTGTATTCGTTGAACTCTTTTCCGTAAATCATTGACACTTTGATATAGCTTTTAATCTCATTGAAATAGTCTGGAGTGTTAGCGATACGGTCTGGGTTAGTCGACCGTAATAGTGGAGCGCCCGGTTCTTTTACCTGAACCGGGGCGCACCTCTGTCTTCAATAGGTTACTGCTACGTTAATATGAACCGCATCACCCTACCGATAGGCTTATTTTACGGAAAAGAGTTTAACGAATACCGTTTTTATGTTTCTAATAATTTCCTAGATATTTGACGGAATACTAAAAAAAAATACGTATGAAATATTTTCATGAGAACTACAATTTCAGAGAATTGTAATAAAATTGGCGATTGTCAATTCTGTTGTGAGTTCACGGTTGCTACGAGGCCGAAGATTTTAAGCCATAAATAACCGAAAATTCCACTCCAGCCTCTACAAGGGTGGTCGTCCAGGGCCAAGCAGCGTCAACTCACACGTGTCGGTGAAATTTTTTCCCTGCTTCTCGAGGAAAACAATGTACATTGTACTTTCCAACTCGAAGCAACGGGTACGTTGGTGGTCCTCTTTATTTCGGATCTTTTCAAACCGATGCTCGTGATGTCTGTTTCCTATCTCGAAGCAGTGGGTACCCTGGTAATAAATTAACGGGCTACGGCGCCTTGGAGAACTGCGCGACGGTTCTTCCCTTGCACTTCTGCAAAGCACATGTTATCCTAGAACCGTTGGTTTCGTTTTACCTAAATGTTGTCGTGGTGGGAGTGAACTCACAATGTAACGATAGGAAACTACTTGGGGGTAGAGGAAGCCCTTTCGGAAAAATTCTGTCAGTCGGTTAGCAATCGGGCGACAGAGATGTTCAGTTCACGGGAGTATTACGCAATGGTATGGTGGTACGTACACAATAACGGATATGTGGGTGTTGCTGTGCAAGTGTTTGGTTACGTAAAACATCTGGAAAATTGAAAACAATCGGTCCTTTCTGGGGCCACGAATTTTCCTAACGTAGTAACAACACGTTGGATTAAAAATACATTAAGTGATTGTGTCGGGTGATCAGTGTTAGTGGTCGTGCAGTGAAGCGAGTACGTATTCTGTGGAATAACTAGGACGCACTTGACGTTACAACCCTTAACTTCGGCTGGTGAGGTATACCTGCGATCACCTGCGTACTGGGCGCTACCTTACCATAAACCGTTCCGTCCGTTGATGACCAGAATCGGTTCAATGATCTAGTGACACAGGTTTGCAAAATCCAGGTGAATTTCCGAAAGGGTGAGTTCTAATCAATTTATTGCTGATTATTATTTTCTTAATTTAACGCAAGCTATGGTTTATTTCCGGCGATAATTCTGCAAGTTTCTGTACCTAACTTTTTCTTCGGG